TGCTTAATAGAGTTTTTATGACGGTTAAATAAGATAATGCAAGGAAGGGCCTAGCATGTGTCTGGCCCATGGGAGATGGTTAATAAAAAAAAGAGCTGTTATGATTGTATTTGTAAAATGAAGTTAGAATACCCATTTCGTAGTGATTCTATACTAAATAAAACAATGCATATTAAAGTCTATAACATATACTGCATGACAGACAGCATGTATTCAATCAATGTTAATTCACTCTGGAGCTACCCTTTCTTCTCAGTCTAGCAAATAATAAGGGATTTGTGTGAGTAGGGAAGAGAGATCCCTAAGGCAGTAAACAGTGTCATAGGCAAGTACAGACTTTATTAGCATTACAATGGTTTTCATCAGCATTTGAATGAAACCAATTCTTCCAATGTTTTTGATCCCTGGAATCTAACTGTAACTTAGCCTCGGTATAGAATTTTGTACAGCAAAGGCATTTATGAGACTACTGCCTCCAGTGTATTCAGTGATCAAAAGTATTGGAAGTCTCTGTTGTAGCATAAATCTTAGTAGAACATAAATTCCATGAAGCCTGAAACTTGGTAAGTTCCGTTTTCCTGATGAATCTCCAGTGCCTAGAACAGTGCCTGTTACACTGTGGAAGCTCAGTAAATTTGTTAATTGAATGAATATGGCTCACAGGCATATGTTATATACCAATATTAAAAAGTTACTGTCCACAAGGATTAGAGACAGGAAAACAGGCAGTGGAGATATTTGGAAGTAAAACGGTGATACATGCCATTGGTCTGACTCAGAAATAATGGAGATTCTAATAGAGGCCTTCATCTTCTTTAGCAAGGCTGTAAGATCCTCCAATCTAGATAAGAAACTCCCAAACACTCCCAACCATACTACTACTACCTTAATTTGTAAGTGCTTTACAGATTACAAAGTCTTCACTCACAAATTCTCTCATTTATAATTTCCTGGCTTACTTACACTTTATTTTTTTTTTTTTGAGATGGAGTCTCGCTCTGCCACCTAGGCTGGAGTGCAGTGGTGTGATCTCGGCTCACTGCAACCTCTGCTTCTCTGGTTCAAGTGATTCTCCTGCCTCAGCCTCCCGAGTAACTGGGACTATAAGCACGTGCCACCATGCCTGGCTAATTTTTTGTACTTTTAGTAAAGATGGGGTTTTACCATGTTAGCCAGGATGATCTCGATCTCCTGACCTCGTATCTGCCCGCCTTGGCCTCCCAAAGTGCTGGGATTACAATCGTGAGCCACCGCACCCAGTCACTTACACTTTTTATTAGAGTTCCTATTCTAGGCAAAGTCAGTGGGAGATTTAAAAATACGTGAGGCCGGGCACAGTCACTCACGCCTGTAATCCCAGCACTTTGGGAGGCCGAGGCAGGTTAATCTCCTGAGGTCAGGAGTTTGAGATGAGCCTGGCCAACATGGTAAAACCCCCGTTTCTACTAAAAATACAAAATTGGCCAGGTGTGGTGGCGTGCGCCTGTAATCCCAGATACTCGGGAGGCTGAGGCAGGAGAACCACTTGAACCTGGGAGGTGGAGGCTGCAGTGAGCCAAGATCGTGCCACTGCACTCCAGCCTGGGCAACAAAAGCGAAACCCCTTCTCAAAACAACAACAACAACAACATTAATATGATAGGATTTCTGCTCTTAAATATAGCTGGAAATATGGCAGGGCTGAGAGAATTCTTCAAGGGCAAATTTGAAGGGCAAATGCTCAGTTCGTCTGTCTGCTCCACCCACGCTTGTCCCATTTGTTTTGCCTGTACCCTGTGCTTTCTTTTATTTGCAGTGCCCCGTCACCGAGTCAGTCAGTCAGGACTGTGGTGACGCTCATGCCTGGGGTGCACAGCATGCTGGGTTCTAATCCTGCTGGCCATATAGCTCCCACTCTTGTGCACAGGGCAAGGACTCTGCAAATAGGAAATACATCAACCATATTCTCTTTTCTTACGTACCAATATTCTGAACACATTTTTCTCCAGGCTGGCAAATGAAAATATAAAAGAATTGCAAAATGAAACAGGTTGCGCTGAAAGGCAATAACTCTTTCCTCCATTTTTAAAGAAGAAGAAGAAAAAATGGAGGATACAATAAAAATAAACACTGGATTCCCTCTTATTCCCTAGAGTTAGAAGAATTCTGGGAAATAATTCCCTGTGATAATAATTACATGCCTGAAGTATGTGAAGGTGTTTGAGAGACCGTGGGTTAATTTAATTACTATGAAAACAATATTACCAGAAGACTGGATATGATAATAGAAGTTATGAAACAAGTTCTTTTTATATCTCAGTTATTTTTAATTAATTAAAACAAAGAGTTATTTTTCCATACATTATCTTTCAAATTGGTTCTTCCGGCCTTCGAAAATCGTTGGTGAAACAGATGGTGGCATCTTAATAAAACAACGTCTCCACAATCATATGGTGGCAGACACTTCCAATGACATGAACCTTTCTTATTCCTAGACCAAATTTTGCTCATAATCTGAGATGTCTCAATATCTGGGGTAATTTTCCCTTATGTTCTTATTTTTTAAAAGGGAAAGGAAATGATTTTGAAGAAACTATATTTCTAACATATCTTGTTTCCTGAATTTAGTCTAAAGATGGTCCCAGACGAATGATGGTTTGACTTAGGATTTCTCCACTTTATGATGGCATGAGAGCAACAGGCACTCTGCACAAACCATACTTCGAGTACCCATACAATCACTGCTTTCCACTTTCAGTACAGTGTTCAACAGGTTACATGAAATATTCAATACTTTATTATAAAACACGATTTGTGTTAGATGATTTTGCCCAACTGTATTCTAAGGGTAGTGGTCTGAGCACATTTAAAATTGGCTAGCTAAGCTCTATGTTCTGTAGGCTGGGTGTACTGCGTTAAATATATTTTCAACTTATGATGGTTTTACGGGAATGTGACCCTGTCCTAAGTCGAGGAGCATCTGTCCTTCTTAAAAACGCTATTGACATGACATCTCTGTAATACATCCCTTCCCCCATCCCTGTTCGTTCCTTAGGGGATGGACCAGCTCTGAAGATCTCAGGGAATGGGGAGCCAAAAGCAGAGGGGTGAGAGTGTTGGAAAGGAGAAGAGAGACTCCTCTCTGGGCCAGTTTGTGAGTTCAGCCAGAACACAGGAAGAAAGAGCCCCAGACCTGAGTCCCTTACTCTGTGATGAGAAGCAGTTCTGACCTAGCTTGGGATAGAGGGACCCGCTGTCTGCATGGCCACCTAGCGTGAGGCACTGAGAGGGCCACAACAACAGTGATGACGTGGGCAGATGGGTCAGTAGTGACAGGATGCACACATGGACGTTCAAATCATGAGGCACAAAGAGCCCATCTGCGCTGACTGCGGGCTGTGGTACAAGAGGTGCCAGGATGAGCGTGGAGCTTTCATGGCACTGACGGGGGCAGCTGAGTGTAGTTCTGAGAAGCGGATGGCATCTGAGGTGGGGTGGGGCAGGCTGAGGGCTGTTCTCCTGGTTCCTGCTGAGGCTCATCCCCTGCTAATTGTCTTCTCCAGATTATGCTGTTACTGCATGGCTATGCATTAGCTCTTTGTTTGCCTACAACACATATGTGACACTGATCCCGATGACAAAGAAATCATGCTGACTTCATTTGCAGGAAAATCTTAAAAAAAAAATATATATATATATATATATATATATATATATATATATAAAAATAAAATAGGTGAATTTCTGGAAACAAAAAAGATTGATATAAATTTGGTTTGGGAAAATGGCACCTGATATTAAAACTCTATGAGAATCTTTCATGTTCAGATGTGATGAGGAAGGAAGGACAAGGAAGTGAGTAACTGGGCCTGAACATGGCCGCCCCAGTAGTTCACCCAAATCCCTTTACTCCTACTTGTTAATAAGCAGCATGCACACATGCAGCGTTCACTCAGCCAACGGTTCTTACGCTTTGCAATGTTCTGTCACTGTGGAAAGAGTTAACTCAAACACAGTTCCTACACCCACGAAGATGGCAGTCTAGTGAAAATGTGGCAAGAGTGATGGGGACATGTTACAGCCAGGACTTTGCATACAGTGTCTGGAAGACAAGAGAGGGGCTGCCATAAACATAACTCATATGCACGGACTTGTGCACCCCACAAGCTGCCTGGCATTGATGCTGGGCTGACAGTGCTGAGCAAAAGCAAATCTAGTCCTCATCCTTGACTTCCTGGAGCCTGAGCCAGAGAACCATGATGCAGATCAGAACAAAATACACTTACAATTACAAGTGGTGTAAGTGTCACTATGGAAACGTGTATGGGGCTGTGAGCTTACAGGACTAGGGAGTGCCTTGCTGGGGTCCAGGCGAGTGAGTGCAGATCTTAAGACAGAGGAACAGCATGAGCACCAGGGAGGAGAGCATTTAAGAAGCTGGGAAAACGCCAGAGTGACAACACCATCCTCAAATGGGAAGGTGACAGGACATAAGGCGAGAAAGGGAGGGAAACACAGGCTATGGGAAGGATTCTGGACTTTAGCCCAAGAACAATAAGAAACAACTATAGTTTTTTCCTTTTCCTTCTTCTTCCCTTTAAAAAATTTAAAAAAGGGAGCAGGGTGGTGTTGCGCAGTTTCAGAGTGCTTACCCAGAGCTGACCTGTAAGTTGAATTTTGAAGGATGAATAAAACTTTGCTAATAAGGGAGGAAAGTGTGTTCCAAACATAGGAAGCAATATGGAATTACATGAAGGTCTATAGCCCTGTGGCACTATTAAGAATATGCAGGAAGTTGGATTTGCTGACATGAAGAGTAGACAGGAAGCGAGGGGGAAGAACAAGAGTGCCATGTGAAGCTAAGAATGAGTTCCCTTCCAGAAACCACATGGTGCCACTGGCACATTTGAAGCAAGGGGGTGGAGTGGCTGGGTGAGACTGTGCAGGTTCTGGAGTCAAAGATTGGGTTCACTTCTCTGTTCTCCTTACGAGGTCTTTAATTTGGAGAAACCACTGAACTTCCTCTTCCTAAGAATCCCCCAACTACCACATTTATCCTAGTGCCCAGCACACAGCTAAGTGAGTTGCTGCTGTACTTGAGAAACCTCACAGAGAGGAAGCCAGGGTACACTGGGGACTGACAGTGGTATACAGACACAGCCATCCAGGTGAGAAGTCAGGATGGGATGGGCGAAGGTAGTGAGGGTGAAGGGGAGGGAATGGGCCTGGGAGGTGTCCAGGCAGAATGCTGGGAAGTTGGGGCGAGGAAGGACAAATGCCCAGTTCCAGCTCTGGTGTGGCAGGTCTGGATGGATGTGGAGCAGCTGCCTATGTACCTCTGAAGAACCCTCACAGGAGGCAGGTGAGTGATGTGTCTGGTATTTGGAAGAGGGGCTGGGGCTGGAAACAGAGACTTGGGAGTAAAGACAGAGGTGGCAATTGAAACCATGGAATGTGATAAAATGACAGGGAAAGTACAAAGAAGGAAATGGGTGAAGGACGAACCACAGAGATCTGAGGTATATGGACATAATTCTAGTACGTCAGAGCCTCAAGAGAAAACAGTCCTTGCAACACAGGAAAGGAGGCGTGTCTAATCCTCCTCTAACCCTCCGTGCTGAGACTGATGGTCATGGTCAGGATTCTGTGGCTCACAGCGGGCAGAGCTTGTGAGCAATGCCCCTTCCAGAAGGCTGCCTGATCAGGGTCTGCCCTGGTGTGGTTATACCCGCACTGGGAATTTCCTTCAAGTTTCAAGTTTGAGGAGAAAGCATGCTATGCTCACTATGTCAATGTCACCACAACTCCAGAGGCCCCCACAGTGCTGGAAGCTTTTGATTCTTAGTCTGAGGAGGAGAGAAACAGAACACTAGACTTCAGGACACAGTGAGTGCTCAAACGAGATTTGTTGGATGAATAAAAGACAACTGGACTAAGACAGGAGAATCAGTGATTCTTGCTGGGTCTAATCTGTGTGCAAGGAATTGTATTCTCATTTAATTTAGCTTTTTGTTTAGTCAAGGGCAAAGAAGATTTTAGTTAAGAGACACTTCTGCCTATAGAAGTGATATCTGGTTAAAACAATATCACTCTTAGGAATCAGATGTGGAGGACGGTTAACTGTATAGGGAAAATAACTGAGTGAATATGCAGAAAAAATGTATAGAATCCTTAAGTCAGTAACTATGCTACAGAGTAATATTCATAATTACAATGAATTGATCACATAAGTTAACTCGGAATAAACTAGGTCAAAGGGAGAGGGTGGTAAACCCTTTCAGAACATTACACCAGGAACAAAAGAATAAATATACACGGCTTAATACAAGCATCAGTGATGTCTAATGAGGGCAGCAGTCATCCAATAAATTAAAAAAGAAAATTACTCTGAGAGCAGACATAATCAACTAATTGAGCACTGAAGAACATTAATAGGCAAATTATTAACATTAATATAGAAAAGATACATCAAAATTGGATAAAGAAGAGAGAAATAAGCAGATATAGAGGGCTACACATTAAGTTAAGACCCAGATCCAGGTACCTGCTTTAAGATCACGCGTGCAATGTTCGGATGCTCTCAGGAAGTGATACTGTGTTCAGATGCTCTCAGGAAGTGACACGGTACGAAAAGGTACTCAAGGAAGATGTCTTCCTCATACCAAGAAGGCAGTGTCCTCTACGTTTGATGCTTCATTTGGAATGACTTTTCTTCTTCCAACGATATTCCCATAACCTTAGTTTGATTTGTTCTCTCTAATCCAACATATTCAACCTAACACTAAGGCCAGCTAATTCTGTTTATCAACATACCTCAAAGCCAGTCCCCTTCTCCCTGTGCTGTCACATTGCTCTAGCCAAGCCTCTGGCATCATCTGAGTAAACTCAACTAGGGCAATGGCCTTCTGACTGGCCTCCACGTCCTCAGCATCTTTTCTATACGGGGTGAGCTAGCTAAAGGAGTGTCTGCACTCTGCTGAAAACACCTGAATGGCTTTTCAATGCCGAGGACCACATTCTAGCATCTTATCTTAGCACAGCATATGAAGCTCTCTGTGATTAGCAGTCCCACCTGTCTCCACCCTCATCTCCCACTACATGCCATCAGCAAAACCCGAGTGTCGGCAAAACCAGAGTTCCTGACAGCCAACACCAACTACGCTGCGTTTCTCATCTGCTCCTGCCTCCCTTCCCCAGCGAGTCCCTACTAGCCCTTTATAGCTCAGGTCAGCCACCACTGCTTTCTTCAGCTCCGATCCCCTTTTGGGTTAGGCTGCTGTCTCTCCTATCTGCTTCCACAATATTCTGTTCATTTCGCTATTGGTATTTTGTCAACATGCTGTTGTAGAAATTTCAGGGAATCTATCAGTCCATGTCCTGAACTACAGGTGCCTCTTGGGCAAAGGTTATGTTTTGTTTATCTCCACATCCTCAGCAAGGAACAATGAGTCTGGCACAAAGCAGGTACCCAATAAATGTTTGCTGAATGAAACATCAAACAAGCATCATATCAAAGCTACATACTACAGTGATAGAGTTCTTTGGATGACTAATAAATACCTGGTTGAGAATATGGTTCAACAAGTTTAACTGAGTTGGCAAAGTGACAGTTAGTTATGAGAAATTTCAAAGATTTGGCAGCTGGACTACCAGTGTAAGAGACAACTATGTAGTAATTAATTCATCTGTATCTACTGAAATACAGAAATGATTTTGGAGCACTTACTAGAATACCAAATATTCTGCTAGAAAGTTCTGCAACTGTAGTAGTCTCACTTTACAGATGACACACAGGGAGTATATGATTTATACCAAAGTCACAGAATAAAAAAGTTAGTTGGCCTAAAATTTGAGCCAAGGTTTCTTAAAGGCCAGAAATCTTTCTAAGTCAAGACTGCCTCACTCATGATACTCATCTGTTATAGTGAAAACAACATGTAAGTCAAAGTAGTTCAGGAGTCACAATTTTGGGGAAAGATGGGGTGAAAAGAAAATTAGGGGAAACTTCTAGAAGGAAGTCACTGTGATTTTGTTTTTTTAATCACGAAAGATAATTTCTGCGAGCTGTGTTTTAACCTCAAAATGCTTGAGTTAAGAGAACTATTAATACAATCAAACAGAATTCCAATGAGAACCTATGAAACCACACAGATGATTAAGATATCACAGTGATACATTATGTCATAACCTTGGCAACTTGCATTCCTCTCACAGATCCAGACACAGCCAGGAGGACCCGCCTTAACTGAGCCGAACTTTGCTAAATCTAGAAACTCTCAGCTTGGCTCATGTAACTTACCTAGTTTTATTACTTCATTTGGTTTCTGAAGGTCAGAACTTTCCTAAATTGGCTAGGTACCAGTTGATTGGGGAAATACTAAGACAAATGAAATCTATGATCTGATGAGGTGGGATTCAGTGTGAAGAAAGGGGTATACAGGAGCAGTAATACGATATGAAGTGCCATTCATCCTCAGCAAAGTCTGCATATGACTCTTGACACGAGTCATTAAGAGGTAATTTTCTATTAGGCTCATGATAGCCATCTTCAAAGAGAATGTTTTGTAATTATATTTTGCATACAAAAGAGTATCATCCTACTGCAACAAAGAATAATTTAGAGATACTTTCAGAAAATTCTATTTACTTATAATCGTACTTTCTGGCCTAACTTTACTCCTCATTTTCTTATATTCCCTTTTATTTTCTCTTTGCTTTGATTCCCTCATTATTTTTTAATTATAACAATTATTTTATTTTATTATATTTTACTATATGTATTTTTGTAAGTTTTAAAAATGCTTTAAAGGCCAAGGCAGAGTATAAATAGAATAAGTGCAATTTAGAAACTCTTGTAAACTACAGTTAATGAATCAGCAATGACACAGAGATCTAATAACTTTTTGACACTTCGCTTTAATATCTAGAGTAAAAAAGAATGTTATTTTTCACCCCAAAACCTTGGCTGCTGAATATAATTTTCTCAATATAAACATCTTAAATATTTTCTACTCTAAGTTAACCGTACTGTTTTTATTTTTTGAAACCATTATCATTAAACCTGGCAGAACTTAGCAACGTAAGAGAAAAAAATTTTTTTTGGAAACTCCAGCATATTTAACAATAATGAATAATCTTTCAAAAGTCTAAGAAACTGTTTTTAGGCACAAATGAATTACCTCTAGTTGCCTGTGGTGCATTGTTGAAGAGGTCAGGTAACAATAGTTCCTTGTAATATAGTGCCACAGGCTCTATATGAGATCCAGTCACACAAATTCAGAACAAATGTAAGAACTGATTTGGAAACAACTGAGAAAATTTGACAAAGCAGTCTTTTTCTCTTTCAATTTTCCCTTCCTTTACTATGTTCTTACGTATGGTATAATTAAAGAGTTAAAACAATTTTTACCGATATGTATGATGTGTTCAACATTTCACAGTGAGCAAAACTCTTATTTGGCTGCTGAAAATAGAATACAATGTTATTTTAAAAATATTTCTGTAATATAACATGTGACAGCCAAAACGTTATGCAAGGTGTCTCCTCAGCCCCACTACATTCTGCAGATCTCCACTGTTTGGGCACTATTTCAATTTGCACGCTTCCTCTGTGAGTTTCTTGAGCTGTCCTTATATGCACATTTCATATGCCCAACCATACTACAATCTTGTAGCAGCAGGGCCATCTTGTGTTTGTATTCTACCTATTCCTAGGTTCTAGTGTGGTAATACACACACACACACACACACACACTGTGAATGTTCAAGAAATATTAGGAAGAAATGGATTTGTTGATTTGTCTTAAAGAGGAAGAATATTTGGCATGAAGGCTTTCACTGTAGCCGCCCTGTTTTACAAAGTGAAAGGTGCTTGTGAATACTATTCAAATTAGGGTTGATATTGAATTAGTCTGTTCTCACTTGACTGGATAATTTATGAAGAAAAGAGGTTTGATTGGCTCACGGTTCTGCAGACTGTACAGGAATTGTGATGTTGGCATCTGCTCAGGTTTGGGGAGGCCTCATGAAGCTTACAATCAAGGCAGAAGGTGAAGGGGGAACAGGCACATCACATGCGAGAGCAGGAGCAAGCAAGCGAGGAAGAAGATGCCACACACTTTAAACAACTGGATCTCATGAGAACTCACTCATTATTGTGAAGACAGTACCAAGGGGAATGGTGCTAAACTATTCATGAGAAATCTGCCCCCATGATCCAACTACTTTCCACCAGGCCCCACCTCCAAAACTGGGGATTACATTTTGGCATGAGATTTGGGTGGAAACAACATCCAAACTGTATCATTACTATTCATGCTAGCTTTCTTGATCAATCAGTGACACATAGTGTGGAAGAGGCAGTCACTGTTAAAAGATTCGCAACAAGGAAAACATGCGAAAGAAATCCTTTGATGAGTGAGAGGGCTGCCTGGTTCCCATTCCAGGAGCTCATGGTTCTAATTCCTCAGCTTGCCAATATATCTGGATTGCAACTGGTAATATATTAAAGAGTTCCAGTGGCTCAAAAAGAAAACAAGACTCCTAAACATGAATCATTATTTAGTTCCTTCATTAAGACTGCAATCACAGATATCAATAATGTTTCATTCAGTTGTGTAGTACATAGTAATCGAGATCTGACGTTGATCAGTACTTAGGTTGATCAGGACTTAGGAATCATACAACTCGTGAAACTAGGGAGCCTGTTTAACCATTTCACCTGTAAGGAAGAACTGTGAAAATAAATTTCCTCGGGTTGATGTTTCTACAGATTTTGCAGGCTTAGTCACAGGATGCACGGGTGCAGAAGTTTCTTCTGAAAAGGACGGGGTTGTGGAAGCAGCAGCCCATGGGGAGTGAGGCGGCCTTCTAATCCCATTGTGCCCTTGACCAACTGTGAGGCCAATCAAGTTGCCTCCCCTTTCTATCCCTCACTCTGCTTTGAGACCTATTTTGTTACTTACTGGGGATTTTACCTAGCACTTAACATCATGGCATTTAGCTCAGTCCAACGCTTCAGCCACAGTTACCCACATCTGGTTCTGATACACACTTTGCATTTTACTTTTCACATGCCTTACTGTCTTTGCCTGGAATGCTCCTCCATCGCATGTCCACCTCTGTGGCTGACACAGACTGTTGCCTGACCACTAGTTCTTCCCACCATTTTCTCTCTGCTGTCTTTTCACTAGAGAAGCTAGAATAGCTGTATCCTAATTTTCCAGCCTGTTGTTTACCTAGTGATATAAAATGTAATGATTAAGTTTTGGTCAATGAGACAAAAGCAGAGTCCTCCTGGAAAGCTTTACCCTTTCCCGGCTGTGACTGCCCTTCTTCTTCCTGACTAAACAAGGATATATCTGGAGCTTCAAAAGCTGTTTGCAACCATCAGGCGTAAGCCTGAGAGGAACACTGAGACTCACACACACCTCACGTTTTCTAGCTGCTAAATAAGCTCTGGCAGCTACATACCTCTAGACATTTTCTATGTGAGAAGAATAAGCACCCAATTTACTTAAGCCCGTGTAAGGGCTTCCTATGACTTCTGGTCAAAAGCATTCCTAATTTTAAGTTGGCACTTAGGAGACCAGCTCCTGTCTATGGCCTTTCGTTTGTACTTCATTGATAAACTTCTTTGGGAGCTTGTAATTTTTTACCCTTAATAGGGGGCTCATTTTGATCTGCAGCTCTTTGCACAATGCTTAGTGTATAACACATTAATAAAAACTCAAATATCTGATGAAGAATTAGGGAGTTCTGACACTACATCTGATATGCATTTGGGCATCACTTTAGCCTTTTCTCAAGTTTTACAATAACATATTTCTTAATTTGTAAGAGGGATACCTCTGAATACAATTTTCCCTTGCATTTCAACAATGAATATTTATTAGGTTGGTGCAAAAGGAACTGCGGTTTTTGCATTGTTGGAATTTGCTGTTTGACACTGGAATACATTCTTGAATAAATGTGGTTATATTATACATCATTTTAATGGGCAGTTCTCAGTTTATTTTTATTTTTTTTTGCTAATGACTTGCTGTTTATGTTTATTTTAGACTATGGAAATGATGTCAGACAAAAAGCACATTTGAGCAATTTTCTTATTTGAGCTTCAAAATGGGTCAAAAAGCAGCGGAGACAACTTGTGACAATGCATTTGGCCTAGAAACTGCTAACGAACGTACAGTGCTGTGGTGGTTCAAGGAGTTCTGCAAAGGAGATGAGAGCCTCGAAAATGAGGAGCCTAGTGGCCGGCCATTGGAAGTCATCACCGACCAATTGAGAGCAATCATGGAAACTCATCCCCTTACAGCTACCCAAGAAGTTGCCACAGAACTCAATGTTGACCATTTGATGCTCATTCGATTTGAAGCAAACTGCAAAGGTGAAAAACCTCGGTAAGTGGGTGCCTCATGACTGAGCAAAAAAAGAAAAAAATTTGTCATTATGAAGTGTTGTCTTCTCTTATTCCATGCAACAGTGAACCATTTCTTGATCAGATTGTGATGTGTGATGAAAAGTGGATTTTATATGACAACGGGCGATGACCAGCTTAGTGGCTGGACCGAGAAGCTGCAAAGCACTTCCCAAAGCCAAACTTGCACCAAAGAAAGATCATGCTCACTGTCTGGTGGTCTGCTCCACTACAGCTTTCTGAATCCCGGCAAAACCGTTTCATCTGAGAAATATGCTCAGTAAATCCAGGAGACGCACTGAGAACGGCAATGCCTGCAGCCGGCACTGCTCAACAGAAATGGCCCAACTGTCTCCATAATGACCCTCGACTGCTGGTCGCAACACCAATGCTTCACAAGTTGAACAAACTGGCCTCATCCACCACATTAATCTGACTTCTCGCTAACCGACTTCCACTTCTTCAAGCATCTCGACAACTTTTTGCAGGGAAAATGCTTCCCTGACTAGCAGGATGAAGAAAATGCTTTCCAAGGGTTTGTAGAATCCCGAAGCATGGATTTTTACACCACAGCAAGAAACTTATTTCTTGTTGGCAAAAACGTGTTGATTATGATATTTCCTGTTTTGATTAATAAAGATACAGTTGAGCCTAGTTATAATAATTTCAAATTTATGGTCAAAAACCGGAATTACTTTTGCACCAATCTGCTACATAGGTACTGTGCTAAGCACTAGGAATAGAGATAAGACAGAATTTCTGCTAACTGTGTATGTGTGATATGTGCCCTAATAAAGGTAAGAACAGGTGCTTCCTCAACATCTGCTTATCTCTTGCTTTACCCAGAAACTGGCTGTCAGGCTTGGCACATAAACTCAACTTTCCACCCTCTCATACTCCACCTTACCCTCTTCTCCTTCATTCCACTCCTGTAAAACGAAACACCGTTCCAGCTGTGCTCTCAGGCACCACTTTTCACCTCTCATGGGGTCCTGCTCTAGCGTCATCTACTTTCCTGTTTTATTAACCAAAATTCCGGTGGGAGGTGGAGGGGGTATCTATACTCGTGGGAGCAATTTACTCACTTCTGATTCAACTCTAAACCCCCCCAATCTGGGTTCTGCCATAACCACTTGACTAACAATGCTGCTCTGGTAATGGTACCAGAGGTCTCTACACTGCCCTCTTTATGAACTGGATATTGCTTAGACAAGCTACACTGCTGGCCACAGCTACCTTCCCCAAACATATGACTATCTTGACTTCTGCACCACTACTCTTTACTTGGTCTCCTCCCATTTCTTAAACCCTGCAGTAGTTAGCCAAGAGACCAGGCGGGGGTCTCTGAGACCTTTCACGGATCCACCAGGAAAACTATTTTCATAGTTATCAGGAAGACATTGCATTCTCTTATGAGCATACAGGGGAAGTTATTAGATACTAAGTGACACGTGATATAGCAACAAATTGTAGTTAGCAACAAATATAAGCACCCAGTTGTCTTCTATTAAGCCAAACATGAAAGAGACATGCACAAGTGTCAAACTATCAATCTGCTAATTTAGGGGGAGGAAAAATGGTTATTCTTCATAAAAGTATTATTTAAGATAATGGATTTAGTCATTTTAAAATAGGTGTTTTTAAAAGCTTTTTTTTTTTTTTTTTCTAATGCGATAAACGTGTCCCACATACACAAAAGCTTTTGTGGGGTCCTCAAAAAGGCCTAATACCAGCTAAGTTGAAGAACCACATTCTTAAACTTTGTCTTCTTGGCTCTTCTTCAGCCAGCTCCTTCAATTTTGATGTTCCCTAGAATAGCATCTGTAGCTCACTAATTTTCTCACCTTAAACTAGGATTTCTCAATCTTGGCATGACCAACCCTTTGGGCCAGCTAATTCTTTGTCAGTGGGGGCTGTCCCCCGTGCATCCCTGGCCTCAGACGCCGTCCCCCGTGCATCCCTAGCCTCAGACACCGTCCCCCGTGCATCCCTGGCCTCAGACGCCTAGCACCCCCTTTCCAAGTTGTGGCAACCAAAAATGTCTTCAGATACTGTCAAATAAAATCACCCCAGGATGAGAACTACTAACCTAAATAGTATTCCTAGATAATTCATCTAATATCTAGGTTTTAATTTGACTTACGGTGATAATTCCACTTATCAAGTACCTATTCTGCACCAGGGACTATCCTAAGTACTTGATGTGCATTAACTCACAACGGTGGTGCTGACTACAGCCCCCATTAACAAAGAATTAGCTGGCCCAAAAGGTTGGTCATGCCAAGATTGAGAAATCCTAGTTTAAGGTGAGAAAATTAGTGGTTACGGATGCTATTCTAGGGAACATCAAAATTGAAGGAGTTGGCTGAAGAAGAGCCAAGAAGACAAAGTTTAAGAATGTGGTTCTTGGCCAGGCGCGGTGGCTCACATCTGTAATCCTAGCACTTTGGGAGGCTGACGTGGGCAGATCACCTGAGGTCAGGAGTTGAAGACCAACTTGGCCAACATGTTGAAACCCCGTCTCTACTAAAAATACAAAAATTAGCCAGGCACAGTGGCAGGTGCCTGTAATCCCAGCTACTCGGGAGGCTGAGGCAGGAGAATCGCTTGAACCCGGGAAGTAGAGGTTGCAGTGAGCCAAGATCGCGCCACTGCACTCCAGCCTGGGCAACAAGGGCAAGATTTCAACTGGAAAAAAAAAATGTGGTTCTTAAACTTACTGGTCTCAGGACCTTTTTACACTGTGTGAGACAGATCAATTATGACTCTCATTTTATGAAGAAACTGCAGAACAGAGAGTGATGTGACTTGCTCGGGGTCACACAGAGCTGCTGTTGCTGACTACTGCGGTGCTGCCCACTCCTCTGAGCCTCAGAGCCCTGTGATTAACCACCTCTGCTGGGCATCCCAGGGGAAATTTACACCCAGGATACCCTCAAAATGAACTCAAAAACCCTTTCTCCACAAGACCTAGTTCTGCATTACCTAAGTCAGTTAAATGTGCAAGTTTAAATTCACCCTCTCTGTGCTTTAGCTTCACCAGAAACCTGGATGCCATTCTAAACTCTGCTTGGATTCTCTTCTTCCTTAGTCCTCAATCCAATCATTCAAGTTCTAACAATTTTCCCTTGTAATGATTTCTCAAATACAACATTTTTCTCTATCTTCCACTATTCCGGTCCTTACTAGCGTCCTAATCTCTACTCTGCACTGCTGTAATCAACTCCCATTTGATGTCCTTGGCCCCTCAAAATCATCTTCTACAATGCTGCCAGAGTGATCTATCAAAAAACGCAAACCTGGTCACGTCATGTTAGTGGCTGCCTGTGAGCTAAGGGTTAAATCCAGGGTCCTCAGCACAGCCCCCAGACCCTCAAATCAGTGGCCCTCTCCAACCTCAGTGCCTTCCTGTCACCCCCTGTATCATACTTATCTCTCTGGCAGTGCTGTGCTCTTTGCCTGCCTGAGCACACCATGCTGCTTCATGCCTTTGATTCAACGTCACCCCTTGGGAGGCCTTCTAGATTCTACACCCTGTGCATCCTTCTGTCACAGCACTTAACCCAGTCTGTGATAACTATCTCTGTACCTGTGTCCCACATAGGCCTGTAAAGTCATTGATAACAGGGGCCTAGCTTAGCTCAAAAATCTCAACTTTCTCTCTCCAGGGCCTGGTATAGCAGAGGTCCCCAACCCTGGGGCCACAGACCTGTGAGTACTGGTCTGTGGCCTGTTAGGAACCAGGCCACACAGCAATTGAGTGGTACGTAAGTGTGCATCATGGCCTGAGCACCATCTCCTGTCAGATCAGCTGCGGCATTAGATTCTCGTAGGTGCACCTATTGTGAACTGTGCATGCAAGTGACGTAGGTTGCATGTTCCTTGTGAGAATCTAATGTCTGATGATCTGAGGTGGAACAGTTTCATCCTGAAACCCTCCCTTGACCCGGTCCATGGAAAAGTCATTTTCCATGAAATTGTTTCCTGGTGCCAAGAAGGTTGGGGACTGCTAACCCAGGTATGGGATAGCACTGGGCAAAGTATGCTTCTACAAAATGTCACACAGCAATGAGACCTATTTGGGTGGCGGGAGGGATGGGAGTGGAGGCTGTGGGATGAAGAGAGTTGGGAAAACTTTTGTTCAGAGAAGGTCACAATTGAGCTGAATCTTGAAGGAAGAGGAGGCACTCTAGACAGGATAAAGGTCCCGCTGGATAGAACAGTACTTGCAAAGGCCTGGAGGTCCAAGAGGACGTGGCACATTTAGGAAACTGCAACAGATGATGACAGAGGACAGGATGCACATGTGGGACTTGGGCTGAGACTGGAGGAGCAGACAGGGCTCCTGCTATCAAAAAGTGGCCTGTATTATAGGTCTTGCAAGCGAGTTCCAAAGTATTTAGTTCACTACTCCAATTACTTTAGGCACCACAATTCGCAGGTCATTAAAAAATGTTTCCTAGTCTACTTTTGATTACTTATTCAGCACTACCTGTGTTAGTTTTGATAGGTAACTTAACCTCCCTGTGCCTCAGCTGCCTTACAGGGTAATAGAAATAGTACCTACCTCACAAGATTATTGTCAAAACAAATGTGTTAATAGACGTGAAGAACATAAGATAGCAGTGGCACACAGAATTGATAGTGGATGTTGTGTTGCCATTGATTTGCCATTAGTGACAAACAGCTGCTGAGATTAGAAAGGACAAAGGGACTGTTCTTGAAATTCACAAGACACAGCCTTAATGTAAAAGAAAGGCATATTTTATAACAAGTAAGTTTATCTAGGGAGGTAATAGTAGCAGGTATCTAGGTTTTTAGGTCCATGATCTCAGGCAACAGTATAAAATGATTACCAGACTCCTTTGGATAATATATTTATATTTGGATAATAAATTTAGCTTAAAAGTATATGCTTATAAAGTATAATTTGAACGATTATTTTCTGAACGCATATGATCTTACAGTTGCCCATACTGAAACCCATTTTCAATTTGCTGCCTTTCAGGTACAGCCTTGAATGATTTTCCTAAAGTTTGAATGATTTTCCTCTTCAGTTGGCAATTACTCATTTGAAAACACTTGGGCCTCATTTGCTCATAAATCATTTCCAAACAGAATTTCAGAAATGGAAGGGTCCTTAGAGATTGTCTAGTCCAACAGTCTATTTCATAAACAAGAAAACTGAAATACGGAGATTGAATAACTTGTCCAAGTGATAGTCTTCGAGGGCTCCACCTTGACTTTCCTACGTGCTCTCACGTAAGACTCTCACTGCCAGTGTGAACTGCCTACTGATTCCAAGTCCTTGTGTATCCTGAGTAAGCTTTATGACAAACTATCTTACTCCAGACTATGGTGAAATCAAATGCTTTCTATTTATTTAACTTGCATATTTCATGTGTTTCCTCAACAGACTTGGTTAAGTACTTGATGCTAGATGTTTGGTTAATTCTTGCTAAAGTTCCACCAGTATGCCTATTATTACACTCTTTATCCTCCAGAGTCAAAGTCATTAAGTAAAATCATTCTCTCCCATGAAATTTTACCACTTAACTGGGTGGATACAACCTCAGTGGCATGACACTGATGCTGTTTTCAAATTTGCAGGGTGAGTACATTTTCTAGGCAGGTTTCTAAAAATTTGAGAATCATTGCTGAAGAGGCTTAGTGTTCCTGTCCTCTGACCGAGGTTGTACTGGGCAGACCCATCTCAGGGCCTGCCAGCTCACACACCTGGTGGAGCGCGGCCTACCTAACCAGGTGTGTTCCAAGGGTAGGCTCTGCTCTTATGACATCCAATCCACAGTCTGGCCAGTCACCTAAGGGGGCCTTGGGGTAAAGAGATGAGTTGATCCAATCAGATTCTTTCTCATGGGAATATGGCTCAAACTCAGAGAGGAGCAGGTAGTTAGTAAAAACAAAACAAAACAAAAAACAAACCTAAAAAAAATGCAGAGAGAATCCATAAGAAAATGATGGGTCACAACCAGCAACACTGTGAAAGCAGAGGTTCTGAATTACAAAAAACATACAAAGAGTAACAATAAAAGACTCATAGGCAAATAGGGAAGTGGGGAGGCGTGGGAAAAAGTGAATGTGTTATATTAACGATGTAAGAGTTTAGGCCCTCAGTATTCTGCTGTCAAGGTCCAGGAAGCGGGATCTCTGTCTGGTGAGCCAGGATAAACTGTTTCAGCTCTAAAGCTTGAGACGCTTTTTCCTTTACCGCTACACGTTTCCACCGTACCCTAAATAGAATGGATTTGATTCTTGCAACCAAAAGAACTCATTACGACACCCAGGAAATTTTAGGGAGGTGCTAGAGTGTGCCTTCAGCTTTGTCGCTGTGTGCAACTCACTGGCCACTTCCACTCTCAACTCTTCCAGCTCAAGGGAAGTTTTACATATGCAACACATTGGCCTTAACTTCACCAATGGCTGATTTCCATCCTTTTTTTCTCTTCTGCAGAAACATAACACTAATTATGCTCCTAGAACAACTACCAAGATAGTCGTTAGGGGGAAAGCGTCACAGGACACGAACGTCTTCCCTGATAGAAACAAGGGCTCCTCCCCGAGGTCTCAGAGGCCACACCTGTAGGTAGGAGCACGCTTTTCGATGGCGGAGCCCGGTCCTTGCCTCGCGGACGCCGGCGCAGGACAGTGGCTCCCAGTTCCCGGGGACATTCCACGGCAACCCACATCCCCGGTCCCCGGCCCCTGGCCCCCGGTCCCCGGTGCCCGCTGGGTCACCTGTAATTGTAGGAGCTGAAACGCTTGCTCTCTCTCAGCATCGCCCGGTACAGATCTAACACTTGTGCGCGACTGGAGGCTGCCATTTTGGAAAGAAAAAAAATTAACGGGTCCTCTTCGCCGAGGTCCCAAGTACGACCCAACCTCGGAACTCCAGCCTGTGCAGAAACCACGCACGAAATAAAATGCAGCGGCTCGACCTTGCCAGCGGGCCGGTCCTAAGCCTAAGCCGGCAGCCCTGCGGACCGCAGACCGCGCCGGGCGTCCCGCGCCGCTTCGGGGGCGGGCGAAGGCAGGGCTCGGGGCAGCTAAAGGGGCGGTGCAAGGAGGGAGATGCCTCCGCCCCGCCCCGCTCCCGCCTCCGCCCCCGCCGGGAGGCTCGGGATCCAGCAGCAGCTCCACGCGGCCGGAGGGCGAGAAAATAAGAGGCCCGGCCGCCCGTGCATCCAGCCAAGCTCCTGGGGGACGGATATTGGGGGTCCGGGCATTCGAGGGACGTGCAGTTGCATCACGGAGAGCCTTTGCGAACCGTCTGGGGTTTTGGCGGAGACATTTGTGTTTCGGGGCGCAGCGCCCCTTTGTGCCTTTAGAAGGCCGCGTTGCCCGGGTTACCGAAGGCCGCCGCGTCGACGCCCCGCCCCTGACAGCCCCGCCCACGCTGGCGGCGGCCGCCCTCGCCGCTGCCTGAGAGACCTTGCGGGATTTCAAGGGTGACTTAACTTCGCCCGATCATGGTCGGCAGGGTGGGATTTATTGGCATTCCTTGGGCCGGGGGATGCGACGTCTGGGTGTGGAGGTGATGAGACAGGGGTTCCGTGGCACTCCGGCTCTGCTCAGGGCGACCTGCGTAGGGGCCTCCGGGGCAAGGCCCGCTTTCCGTCAAAATGGCAGCGCCCAGCGTGCACGGGTATCTCTGAAGTTGGGGTTTAAGGTTCTTGCCCGTGAGAGCCAACGAGCCTGCCGTGCTTCTGATTTTGAAATACCTGGGTCTGGGTTTCCCGGGCGAGCGGTGGGTGAGTGCCGACCTCGTTGCAGCCTGGGGTAGGACGTGGGCGGTTCGTGTGGTTAGGGGGTTACATTGGCCATGGATTTTTTCCTCTTTCCGGATGTGTTTTTGCTTTTGAGTGAAGAGTCCCCGTGGTTTTGTAGTCTAATAAATGCGTAAAATGCAGCTTGGGCTCTAGACTTTGGAGAATAATTTGAGCCCGTTAGGGCTTTAGGCGTTCTCCAAGAAGCGGAGCAAGTTTTCAACCATGGCTTTCTTCAGAAGACTTCAACTTTTTTGAATCATTTTATAAAAGTGGTGGATAAAGTTGCTTTTTCTGATCTTTGAGCATGGGACTGGACGCTGGAAGCTTCAGCCAGTTCTAGTTACTGTGTTTGCAAAGCACTTTTCTTGTTTTTGGAATCTTGCTTTATGTAATCAACCTTAGGAAGAACCCCACCTTTCCGCACTCGAGCACAGCGAGGAGTACCTTATGCATAAAAACAAAACAACTTTGCATTAAAATCCATCTTTCTCCCAACCGCTTGGTCACGGTTGTGTTCTCATCTGCTTTAGTGTATTTGGTTTTAAAACGATAAACTTGCTGTATATCTAAGCAACTTTATATTTTCAGGAACTTTTTTTTCCCTTTTATTTATTTATTTATTTTTTTGAGATGGAGTCACTCTCCGTCGCCCAGGCTGGAGTGCAGTGGCAGGATCTCGGACTCACTGCAACCTCCGCGTCCCGGGTTCAAGCTATTCTCCTGCCTCAGCCTCCCGAATAGCTGGGATTACAGGCGCGCGCTACCTTGCCGAGCTAATTTTTGTATTTTTAGTAGATACGGGGTTTCACCATATTGGTCAGGCTGGTCTCGAACTCCTGACCTTGTGATTCGCCTGCCTCAACCTCCCAAAGTGCTGGGATTACAGGTGTGAGCCACCACGCCTAGCCTCTATTTTCAGGAACTTTAAAGGCAGGAAACACTTCTCTGACCTTACCATTCTTTAGTGTACTTGCAACCTGGTGTCCTTGCATCCAGATATTCTTATTAATCCTGATGCAGTGACATTTTTTAAAAGGCACTGAAGAGAAAATACTTTCATTAAGATACCTTTAAGTCTCCTCCCTGACTTCTTGACAATCTCATGTCTGTGATTTTGTTTTTGTTTTTTTGTTTTTTTTTCAACAGGATAGCAAAACTTCTGTTACTTCCTGGTTGGTCAGGTCGTTGAGCAAATCTACCCTCGGGTTTATTGAAAAGACTTTTTTGAGTTTTCCCTTTGGTATTTCTTAAAGGATCCAAGACCAAGGCAATTGCACATTGTTACAGAGTAAGATTCAGAGCTGATTTCTCTTGATACACTGTTGTGTGCTGGTGATATGAAATGATATGGGGCACCTTAAAGCTGCAACATTAATGCAAGTTGCTGATAGAGAATGCTATCAGAGTGAAAAGGAAAAACTTGAAGATTATTTTGGCTTGTTTAAAAATAGCAAGGATTATGTTATTTATATTTTGCTTTTGAGAGTAAAGTTGGAATAACTATATACAATTGTTTCTACCTAATTATCAAGGAATTTAATCATTAATGTATATGGTATATCTAAATGACTCAACTTTGTTGTAATCAAATAAAACTTTTCCAAATAAATATGTATAGTTTAAATAGTTTGGGTAGCTTAGTCCTCCATTAGTACGAGCAATGGTTGCAGTTAGGAAAGTGATAGCTTCCCGGTTAATTCTGAGCCAAATCTTCACAAAAATACCTCATTATTTTATTTAAAATGGTTTACCAATGTGTTGGACATCATTGCCTGGAGAAACTAAAAGAAAATAATCATTCTGAAGCTACATCTCACTTTTGCACATCTTCACTGCAGAGATTACATAAAACAAAACAAAACAAAAAAAACTCTATTTGAGATTGTAAGTAGAATTGGGCCAGAAGCTGAAGAATGGACCTTACACATATGTCCTTTAATATGCATTCTATTCTGGGTTGAAATTTTTCTTAGCGAATATCTGTAAAGTAGGAGGTACCATTTAGGCATCAAAACATAAAAATTTCTTTAGTATTCGTTTATTGAAAGTTACCGACTACCTGTAGTTCTTTATGTAAGATCATTTATTACCTTCTATTAAAATTAGGGTTGTCAATGACCACTTAATGCTTTGTGAAGAGAAATTTCTCTAATCATAATAAACAGTGTAACAACAATTTTCTGTCCTTAAGCTTAAATATCAAAATGATGTATAAAGTAAAATTTGTATAGTAGTAGTAATTTATGGTATTATTTAGAAATTATTCAGCTGGGCATGGTGGCTCACACCTGTAATCCCAGCACTTTTGGAGGCTGAGGTAAATGGATTGCTTGAGCCCAGGAGTTTGAGACTAGCCTGGGCAACATGGCAAAACCCCATCTATACAAAAAATACATCATAGCGAAACCTCATCTCTACACAAAAAATACAAGAATTAGCTGGGTGTAGTGGCATGTGCCTGTAGTCCCAGCTACTTGGGAGGCTGAGGTGGGAGGATTGCTTGAGCCCTGGAGGTTGAGGCTGCATTGTGCCATGATCACACTACTGCACTGTAGCCTGGGCAATAGAGTGAGACCCTGTCTACCAAAAAAAAAAAAAAAAAAAGAAAAAAGAAATTATTCTATTCTACACCACACATGAATCCAAGTATTATACATTGATCCTTCATTTTAATAGAACATGAAGGGGAAAGACCTTAGATACCAACTCATTCGTTTGTACAGATGAACAAACTGAAGCCTTTTTCCTCATTCATTCATTCCTTCAGCATTTATTGAACACTTCCTGAGTACTATAGGTTATGGTTTTTCTTTTCTTTTCTTTTCTATTTTTTTTTTTTTTTTGAGACAGAGTGTCACTCTTGTTGCTCAGGCTAGAGTGCAATAGTGCAATCTTGCCCAGCAAATTTTTTGTATTTTCAGTAGAGATGGAGTTTCACCATGTTGTCCAGGCTTGTCTTGAACCCCTGACCTCAGGTGATCCACCTGCCTGGGCCTCCCAAAGTGTGGGGATTACAGGCGCAAGCCACCGCGCCCAGCCCATGAGTACCATATGTTATATAAGACGATATAGTTACAGTGATGAGAGCCTCCCCACCCCTAAGAAACTTGTACGTGACTAGATAAGCCAAACAATAATTTATTTTATAGAGACAGGGCCTCGCTCTGTTTACTAAGCTGGAGTGCAGTGGTGCGATCGTATCTCGTTGTAACTTCAAACTCCCGTGCTGAAGTGATTTTCCTGTCTCAGCCTCCTGAGTAGCTAGGCCTATAGGCTCATGCCACCATGCCTCACACATTTTTAAGTTTTTTTTTTTTCTGGTAGAGATGAGATTTCACTATGATGTCCAGGGTGGTCTCAAACTCCTCGGTGCCTCTCCTGTCTTGGCCTCCCAAAGAGCTCAGATTATAGTTGTGAGTCATGGCACTTGGCCAGTAATTTATTTTTGACAGTTGCTGTGATATGAGTAATATTAGCAAACACTAAAGGAATACAGAAGAGGAATACTGAGCCAGGACTTTCACCTAAGGGAAGGCTTTCCATCGTAGAAGGTGTTTCCAGAATGAGAAGTAAGAGCCAGTTGAGGAATGTGGTTGAAGATTGCAGTGTATATTCCAAGCATGGAGGAAGAAGGGTGTTTGATCTATTTAGAGAACTGTAAGTGTTTTAGAATGGTAGGAGGTGGGAAGGGAGGGAGCACTGAAGTGTTTAGCCCTGTACTAGCTTTATTTTAGCGATGTTGTGTCTCTTTCTGGAATAAATTATTTTTTCCCTTATGCATTGGCTGAGTCATATAAGTAGAATTTAACAGCTGAGCTGTTGAAATGGAGATTATTTATTTATTTGGGTACTGATAACCTTTTGTTTCAAATCATGAATTTGAATCCTATATTCCAGGGGCACTGAAATGTTATTTATTTACCTGTGCATTCAGGAGATAGCTGGCAGCCTAGCAATTCAAGTTATTGTACTTGTGGTAACTTGAGGGCGATATATAAATCAAACACTGATCCTGTTTTCCAGAACTTTATAGTTTAAATGCATTTGTATATGATTAAAATTAAGTATTAGGTTGGTGCCAAAGTAGCTGCGGTTTTGACCGTTACTTTTAATGGTAAAAACTACAATAAGTTTTCCACCATCCTGTACAAAGTGCTGCAAGGAAAGGGCTGGTGAAGTGTTGTGGGGTCTCCGTGCAAGGAGAGGTCACTTCCTTCCCTGATGCTTGGGCCACACCTCAGACCAACAGCATGGCTAAGGCCCAGGCTTCAGAGAATTTTGTTTAATTTTTTAAAAAATTCCCTCCATGACTGGGAATAGCCAGGGCTGAGAAACATTGACCTGAAGGAATTAGGGGGCTTCAGGGAGGAGGTAGTGTTTGTGTTGGGCTTGAGAGGATTTAAGTTTTTCCTGGGCCTTGAAAGGAATGGAAGGATTTAAATGTGTGAGTGTGGTTGTAAGATGGCTACTGTAGCCCTTTACCTTGAAAGGATGAAGGAGAAACCCTGGTTGAGATCTAAGAAAAAACAATCATAACCTGCAGAAGGCTTTGGCCAGAGCTGTAGAGTGCATGAGGGTGAGAACAGGGAGATCCCGTGGAAAGTTAATACATCGGCTTTCCTATGTTTTACGCACGAGATGAGCTGAATCCTGATAGGACTTGAGTTAATCTTTCCATG